TATCTGTAGTTGATATTTGGATATACAATTAAAGAAATTAAAAGGCAGGCTTATGTCGGAGTAGTTAAGAGAAGAAAACATGTTGTTATGGGAGGGATTTTATCATCGATATTATTGGGGTAGCATTACTTAATATAGAGACTCACGTTAAATGGCACGTAAAAAGTATTGTGATTAACTATGAACATTTATAAGTATGTGAAACGTTACCAGTATATCTCTTTTTCTTTTAGGTGTAACATGGATATGTTGATTTGTATAAGGATATTGCTGTTAGGGCTGTTATCAACATTGCATCCAGTATCGTCTGTTGATTGCCGAACAGACAGATGCCATACTCATGATGGTGTCACAGACTGCTCTTCTCAAAAGCTCAGCTGCATTCCCTGCAACATTGCTACAGCCACAGTGCTCAAAATGGCCCACAATGTAATACGCGGTCTCAACCAAGGTGATTTTCATTGTTTTAAAAATCTGAAGTCTATTGACCTCAGTCATAATCAAATCACAAATATTACAGACATGACCTTTATGAATATGACTGAACAGAGCAAAACCTCACTCAGATATTTGAACCTACAGCATAATAAGTTAGGCCTAGGCCTATCTGTTATTCAAGGAAAGCCATTTGAGGGACTATCTAATCTCGAAACTTTGGATTTAAGTTTCAACCAAATTTGTACAATTGCGAATATTTTTGATGGGTTGTCAAATTTGATAACACTTAACTTAGGAAACAATGAAATTACAGAGTTACCACACGACATGTTTAAAGGACTTTCAAATCTTCAGACATTAGAACTTCAACACAACAAAATACAAACACTTGGAGCTAATGCTTTTGGAAATACTTCGCATTTAAAACGTTTACGGATTGACCATAACGATTTAACTGCATTGCATATGCAACCTTTTAATAATCTGAAGAAATTGCAGCATCTTGACCTCGGCTACAATAATCTAAAAACTATTGGAAACAATAGTTTTTCCACTTGTTCCAAACTTGAATATTTAAAATTGAATGACAACATGTTGACTTCCATTACGAAAGATTTATTTGGCGATCATACACTCTTCAAGGAACTTCAGTCTTTTCATCTCAG